ACACGTCACAGGTAGCACTGTGAATTTCCATCTTGGGTAGGTCCCTCCTCCCCTGGCCTCTCTCTGATGCTCAGTACCTAGATCCATTAGGGTCTGCAATGGCAGTACTCTAATTCTAGCCTTCCTTTTTCACTTAGTAAAGGGAACTTTGCTGTTGTCAATTATCTGGTTACGTGAAGGTGTAGCTTGTACAGCAAAGTCAAGAAAATAAATGTTCCATTCTTCCTCTTTCTTCGCCAGCTTTTAAAAATAATGAGTTGGTTCCCAAGCATTCTCAAAGATAATCAATGTACTTTTAAAAAGAACATTATGAACAAATACATTTCAACATAACGGACGTGTTTTGAGCCATTGCAGTTACTGCTTTAGTGATGGGTACATTGTCCTGGTTTTGCCTGAGCTCTTGACAGAGTCTCTGGTAGCATCCTTGATTCCTGCTGTAAAGAGATGTTCTAGGGTCTGCTCACTCCGCTTAGGAACCCAGCCTTGTCCAAGGAACCTAGCTTCCTTCTGGTGGGAAATGAAGTTTAAAAACCCTCATTTCAGCCAGGTGCAGTGGTGCACACCTGTAATCCCAGTAGCTCTGGAGTCTGAGGCAGGAGGATTGTGAGTTCAAAGGCAGCCTCAGCAAAAGCAAGGCTCTAAGCAATTCAGTGAGACCCTGTCTCTAAATAAAATACAAAAGAGGGCTGGGGATGTGGCTCAGTGGTTGAGTGCCCCTCCCCGAAAAGCAACCCTCATTTCAGTACTAGGGATGTTCATAGTTTCTGAAATTTCTCAGGAGACACAGTGAAGAGAAGACCAGCTTTCTTACAATATGAAAGACCTCAAGGACACATACTGAGACCTCCAAATCAATTCAGGACCTCAAACAAGTCTCTTCAGTCTGACAGTGGTAGCTCATTTCTCTCAGATTCCTACTTCACCTGGGGCACATCAACATATGGCAGTTCTGGACCCCTGCCCCAAACCAGGAGAATGGGAACTGGAATATCTAGGGAATTGTTGCAGGCAAGACCCCCCACCCCCAGTAATGCTTAACAGACAAGAAGTTGCAAAAGTAGCACAGAACCTGTTCTAATATGGTCACAAAATGAGTGATATCACCATGTACCAGGGACTCAATCTTGATAAATTCCATGTACCTTTTACAAGACGTATTCTTCTGAGGTGGACTGATTGGGTAAGAACAAAGATTGAGAAATGTCCTTGTCTCCTGTGGACTTGTGGGTGGAGCTTTTGAGGGGGAGGAGGAAGTTGATAAGGAATGTTGAGGGCACTTTCAGGAACAGTGACTAAAAAGGGAGGAGAGGAGTAAGATTAAGACAGGTTTAAACGAAATAAGAAGTGAGAACTTTCACATGTTCAGAGGCTCAGAGAAGAATCTACAAGGCAGGCAGAAAATGGAGTTTCAGAAGGTAGAGAGCAATTTGATAAGTTTCACTGGCTGGCAGGGGTTGGGGTCTTTTTGGAAAGTAGGGAGCTACTGGATTAGACCAAGAAGCAAGAAGCCTTGAGTTAGTCTGCCAATGTCAGAACCAGGACCAGACCCTGTTTACCTCTTCCTACCAGTYGGAGGGACAGTGCCTGATACAAAGGTTTCGTCCATTATGTCACCAATGACATAAGACACAACAGAAAGACAGTATAAAACTGTCGTTCTCAAAGAGCTGGATCTGGCCCTTCTGGGGGGTCCTTTATCTCAAACTTATTTTCATGATTACACTGAAATATGGGCCTTTTTACTCTCATTCTCCCAGGCTTCAGGACAGCTGAGGACACCAAGCCTAGATGCAGAAGCGGTCAGACACAGAAGAGATTTGCCAAAATGTAAAATAATGCCACTCTTTTCAGTTATTCTTTGGAAAATAGTGTCCATTAAAATGTTTGTTGTGTCTCTGTGTAATGGTTTATTATTGTTATTTATTTTTTTTTTAAATATTTATTTCTTAGTTTTCGGCGGACACAACATCTTTGTTTGTATGTGGTGCTGAGGATCGAACCTGGGCCGCACGTATGCCAGGCGAGCACGCTACCGCTTGAGCCACATCCCCAGCCCTTATTGTTATTTTATTTGGGTAGGGGGTGGAGTTACCAGGGATTGAACTCAGGGGCACTCAACCACTAAGCCACATCCCCAGCCCTCTTTTGTATTTTATTTAGAGACAGGGTCTCACTGAGTTGTTTAGCACCTCGCTGTTGCTGGGGCTGGCTTTGAACTCTCAATCSTCCTGCTTCAGCCTCCTGAGCCACTGGGATTACAGGCATGCACCTCTATGCCCCTCTATTATTGTTATTTTAAATGAATTATGACACATTGTTAAAATTTCTGTTTGAATTCCTAGTTTGAATGCCTAGTTAGGATCATGTAAACCAAAGCTCTTTGGGGCCTTTGATAATGTTTAAGAATGTCAAGAAGTCCTGACACCGAGTTTGCAAAGAGCTCCTATGACAGGAACTTGGGGCAAGTGGTAAGAGCCAATGAAAACCCACAGAACACCCCAATGCTACCAGATGCCAGCTCCTCTGGCCGACAGCTAGGTATTCCTCCCGGGAGTCCGTGGTTTCCCCCTCAGGATGGAGGGGAGACCCTCCCTACCCAATGCCTTCCACAGACATACTGAAGTCCAAATGTTCTCCTTCCAAGGAGGGAGGGCTTCTAACTGTAGACTTGTTTTCCCGAATGGAGCAGGGAGGTCTGCTGCTCCCAGAGGCTGAGAGGAGGAGGAAAGGAGGAGGAGGAGTCTGGGGTACTGCCAGGAGGGGAGGGGCAACTGCTCTGTCCTGCACTGTCTGTCCATCAATACTATGGGAAGAGAATTCTTYCTTGGGAAAGGAAAAGGTTGATGAAGGAAAACCAATGCTCCCTCATGAAAGGACTGCCAAATACCCCTCGATGCTCCCACCTGGAAGGTACAACTACTGTTTCTCAAATCCCGCCAGCACGCTAGTCCCCAACAGGGACCAAGAATTCTGACACCTTCCTAAAAGCAGTCAGTTGAGGAGACCCAATAGACGGTGGCTTTGGCTTGTCTTCTCCCCTGACAAGGCAGCTCTGCTCATCCACACTGCCTGTGCTGCTCCTTCCCCACATCTTCAAGGGCCTGTCCACCTGCACACCTCAGTCATCCCCTGCCATCAAGGGCTCAGGAATGTTCGCGCTCCATGGACTCTGGAGTTTCAAGTACAAACTCTAATTACACTTGATTTCTCACAGATTTCCCTTGTGCTTTTCAACTATTAGAAAGCAAATGTCTTTAATATTGGGCTTATACATCACGTAACCCTTATATCAATGTCCTTAATAAATTCCATGTGATTTTCACAAGGTTTATAGTCTTCCGAGAGCTCTCTGGATGTCTTGCTCAACCCTCAAGACTGGACACCAGGGAGCATAAATAATCATTTCTTTAAAATTGTACCTCCTTTACAACCTTGAATTTGAAATGTGAATATATGAATATAAAGGTCTGGAATAACTATGCAGATTTATGGGGAATTTCAATTTAGGTTATATCACAGGCTCCAACTTGGCTGTTCTTTGTATAGCTGGAGATTTGTTACAGTGGGGCTATAGTTTGGGGAAAATGTGATTTATAGTTAAAGTTATCTAAAAATCAATACAGTTGAAGATTTCTGACATAAGGGTCCTTTGCAGAGCAAGATGTGATGCTAACATTGGGAAGACAGGAATTAATATGGAAGCTAGAGCAGAGTGGCTGCAAGTTGCCCTGGGGCGGTAGCTTGGCTTCCACCTCCCCACTGTTTGAAGATGGGCTTGTGTGTTTTTTGAAAACAGCCAACATAATTCAGGTGGAGGAGGCAGAAAGACTTTTCTATTCCTTGTTTCGGTAGAAATCAATGGCTTTAGTTAGTGTAACTGTACCCTCTGCGTTCAGTATCTAAAATAAAATAAGCCTCATTGCTTGTATGAGAGCATTTCTGCAGATTTGGCATCTAGGGCTGAACAAGTTATAAATTAGGTAATCTGCCAGGCCAGGCGGCAGGAGGCATGGGGTTTCAATGGCAGGGCATAGATTTTGGATTCTGATACCAACTTACTAAATGAATTGAAGGGACCCCTGGGGGAAGTGGGAGAGCACTCCTCAGTAGGATCTCCTCTGCCTRAGGACGAGCTTGGGACCGAAACCCAGACTCAAAGCCAGTGGCGGGCGCCAGCTCCCCAGCGGGTAGTGCAAGGCGCTCTAGGAGAGGCAAGGCTCCGATAGGCAGCAAACGGCAGCCCAGCCCCCCACCCCAAAGGATTGCAAAACTCTCGCGTCCTCGCCTGCTTCCCCCAGCGCTCCGCTCTCCCAGCCTCCGCTCCCGCACACCCCGCTCACGCGCCGCGAGGAGGAAAGAGGAATGGGTAGGAATGGGGGCGGGGGAGTCCGCGCTCGGGAAATGCCCCGGGAAGCAGCCGGCGCCGGTGGAGATGCACTTGGCGAGGGGGAGCGCAGGCTCCAACTCGCTGGGAGCCTCGCGGCTCTTTCACAATTCCCTGCTCTCTTCCTTGACCCCCAAGTCACCCCAGCAGCCCCCGCCGCAGAAGGGTAAGGGGACAGGGCGGGCTCGCTCGCGCGCGGGACCCCGGGGGTATTTCGGGCCCTCGCTGCCCCTTTAAGGGTTCCTGAAACTTTCCCTCTGATATCAGATGAGCCTCGTCACATCCGTTGGCCGCAGCCTCCCGAGCGCGTTCCGAGGAAATTCAGGACTCCAGTTTCCCGGGGAAGAGGCGCGGCCCGAGACCAGCGAGTGGGCAGGACCCGCGCAGGGGCCCTCGCGCCCCGCTTTGACCTTGGGCACGGGGAGGGGCCCCTGCGGGGCAGCCAGCGCCCGCCAGAGGGGGCAGCGGCGAAGAACTTGCTCAAGTTGGAGGCGCGGGTTGGGGCGGCTCCGGCGCCSCCGCCGCCTGTGAGCCTCCTCCCCGGCTCCTCCGCCCCTCCTGCGCCGCCGCCGCCGGCCCGGTGCGCGGCCAGCCCTGCCCCGCCGCCCCTCAGCCTCGCGTGCCCGCCAAGTTGCTGAGCCGCCCGCGCCGCACCGGCAGGCTCTCCTCCCGGCTCCGCCGCCGCTATGGGCGCGCTGGCCAGGGCGCTGCTGCTGCCGCTGCTGGCCCAGTGGCTCCTTCGCGCGGACCCCGCGCTGGCCCCCGCGCCCTTCACGCTGCCCCTCCAAGTGGCCTCGGCCACCCGCCACCCGGCTTCGCCCGCCCCAGAGCCCGTGACCTCCGCACTGGCCCGCGCCAATGGCCTGGCGCTCGCCTTGGAACCCGCTGGAGTCAATGCCAACTTCTTGGCCATGGTGGACAATCTGCAGGGGGACTCTGGCCGCGGCTACTACCTGGAGATGCTGATTGGGACTCCCCCGCAGAAGGTAGGTCAGTAGGCTCCCGCCCGCCCTACGGACCCGGCGCCCGCGGTCCCTGGAGTCCTCCTGGCTGCAACCGCGGGCTTTTCAGGGGCTCGGGGCAGAGTGGGGAGGTGCCCAGAGATGTCTTCGTGCGCCTAACGTCGCCCCTAAAGCGGCAGCTGGAGGGGAGAGAAGAGTGGGGAGCTCAAAGGGGCATGGGGGTCGGGGAGCGGGCCCGCGCGCTGGCGAGGCGAGGGATGGCTGGCCGTGCCCTAGGTGCCGCTGAGTGGAACTTGTTAGCACCCCACCCCCCGCCCTCCGGTGTGGCTGGCCCGCGAGAGACCTGTAATGCGCCTCCGGCGCGATTTCCTTCACGCGAATGACACCTCCTTCCAGCAGGATAGGTAGCAGGGGCCTTGGGAGAAATCACCTCGTGTTACTGTCCCCTGCCCCCCACGCTGTCTCACATGCTGCTTAAAGAGGCTCATGGCCGGCATCCAAGCTGCAGTACCCTTTAAAGGGATTTGTACATGAGCTCAGCTAAAAGCAGCCAGGTTCCGAAGTGGTTCGCTGTCGCCTGCGGAGCGAGCTGCGTTGCCTCTGGCCCGCTTTTCTCTRTGAGTTGGTCTGTTGGCTCCTTGGCTGCCCCTGCGCACGGAGCCGCGTCTCCCCGCGCGTGGCTGGGAGGTGTGAAGTGCAGGCTGAGCGAGGCGGTGACAGAACAAGACTCCAGTCCAACAGCTTTCCTTTTCTCTTCCTTGGATGTTCATTTATTAATATATTTTGGTAGTAAGGGACATCTTAAGAAAATAGAAAGGAAGAAGCCTACCAGGAGTTGATCTGACCTCTTGTTCCCTTCAGAGCCCCCAGTGCACAGGTGAAGTCGAGTTTTCTCCTCATTGCATATGCTGTAAAGATACTTTATTTTTATTTTTAACATTGTCATTTGGGTTTTAATTCTGCTATGATTGCCCATAAATAGAACATATTCATGACTTTTGTATAATTCTAATTAAATTATTCAAGACTTAAAGAGGAAAGATATGCCATGCTAGTTCTTTTTTTAAAAAAAGGAAATATGACTGAACAACTTCTGTAGTTGTTTAATTAGTTTAACAAAGAAAAATAACCTTCAAAATGCATTATTTTTTTCTCAGCCCCCATTCTAGCTGCTTGTTTGGAATGGGGTGAGCCTTCTCTGTGGCTGCAGGAGTGGGAGGTGGCTGGAGGGCAGGGGGGATGGGACCACAGTCAGCTGAGGAGGCTTAGTGGCCCATGAGGACACCACGTGGCGGTGGGAACCTTGTGAATTGCTTCTCACAAGATCCCACGGGACATGGGATAGACTTTTTTGTGTCCTGTGAAATCTCTTGGAACAAGCCCTGAATGATTCCCTGTTTGAGAAACTTATACCTTTTTTGGGGGGGAAAAAAAAAAAGCTAGCATTGGCTTTAGAAGGGACTTCTCACTGAGATCCAGTGAATGCTGGCAGTTCTAGGGCTGAGATGAAGGAAGCTTGGAAGCCCTCCTTCCAGAGCAAAGTGCAAGAGAAAGTCTTGAGAAGAAATAAAAAATACTTCTTGGGCTCTCTCTCAATAAAAAAATAAAAAGATTTCATAAGTAATAGCTTGCTTTTGTTAATTAATTCAATGACCTTTCTTTCAAAATGAAGTTTAATTAATTTAATTAACAGAATGTAACACATTGGGCACCTGTGCTCATATCTTTACCATAGCCAAAGAGGTGATTGGATCAAGGTTATTTCTCAAACAGGAGCATGTTTTCAGGGCAGGCTGTTTTATAAAGACAGATATAACTTTTAAATTGATGGGGAGTGAAATATCTGGGACCTCTTTCCTGGCTTGATTTACTGATAAGCTGCTTTATAGCAAAAATCCACGTACATCATTTTCTGCAGGCCTACTGTAAACCCTTAGGTGTTGGTGACATACATCCTGTTCACTCCTGTCCTGCCCTGAGATGTCCTGACCACCAGCAGGGCATTCGCAGCTGGCCGAAGAGGGCAGCAGTGGGGTGGCTTCTGAAATACCACTCATGGGCCACTAAGCCTCCTCAGCTGACTGTGGTCTCATCCTCCCTGCCCTCCAGCCACCTCCCACTCTGTTAATGGTCAAGAGTCATGCTGATTCTCTGAAGCCTAAATAAAAATTGCTTAGGTGGAAAGAAGAATAGGATTATAAATTCAAGCAATAAATAACCAGGACTTTCAGGAGTTCATAACATGGATAGTGTCCGAGGGCACCGTGCCTGACAGACAGTGCGGAATATTCCAAGTGTGTTTTTCCTGGGAATCCTCACAACCTCTTACCCCTGAAGTTCTTATGTGCATCAGGGAGACGAGAAATCTGGAACTTGGAGAGGCTGAGTGACTTGCAAGGGCAACAGGGGAAGAAAGAGAGAGAGAGCTGAAGTAGAACCCAGGGAGCTGGACTCCAGAACCCAGCTTCCCAGCCACCAGCTACATCCTGTTCCTTCCCCCCCTCGCACCTCCTGACTTCTTGGGTTGTGGTTTTGAACTAGCCTTTCCAGCCAGAGGTCCCGCAAGCTCACACCTCAAGGTGTTAGTGACTTAATGTGTAACTGCAGTTGGGCTCCCCACCCCCCAGCTGCCCCATCGCCTCCTTCCTTTAGGGCAAAGCTTGAAGAAGAACACAGTGCATAGTTGGATCCAGGAACGAGTGCCAAAGGAACGGAGGGAGGAGTTTGATGGGAGCTGAGCCTTGCAGATCCCTGTCTCCTGTGGGAAAGCCAGCCCTTGGGAGTGTGCTTGTTCCCTGAAGGCTTTAATCAACAACTGGGGGTCCATTGTTCTGCCGCCACTCTGTGAGGAGTCATAGACATCTGCCCAGAAACCCAAGTGAGAGCGGCACAGCCGTGCGCTGGCCCACGTTGGCATGGAGATGAGAGCCGGGTTGCACACTGATACCATTATGTGACTTCTTTCCAACAGGAGAACCAGCATCTGCTGGAACCATGCAATTTGGTCTTAATAATAATAATGGTGTTCTAAAGTGATTATAATTATAGCAATTTCCATTATTTAAAAAAATCTTTCATGCTAACACAGTAAATCCAGATGAAGATAGGAAAGGTCTGCAGCCATACACTTTATAGAGGCTTCATGAAAGCATTTGGGGCTTCTGTTGAAAGATTTTCTGTTGTCTCCACTAAGATGGATGAACAGCAGGGAAATCTGTTTTCATATTTAAGCACTCAAATATAAACAGCCAAGGAATCATTTGGGGGCATGTGTTCGGATATCAGCCTCTTAGTTGATAACTGTTTGGGAGACTTTGGATTGAAAGTTTGTTCCAAGCTTATAGAAATGAAGTTCGGATTTTTCCCAGTAATTCATCCAGGGTCCCCGAAACACAAAGCTGACGGAGGGAAAGGAAGGTGGAACAAATATCTAAGGTGGTAAACTCTTAAAGACAAAAAGCAAGATACAAATGTACAAGATACAGAGGTACAGATGGCAAGAAAGTCACAGCTAGTCTGACATTGGCTCCTTCAGGGCTTTGGCAGAGGAATTTATCAAAGGCTCAATTACAGAGGATGTGAAAGGCAGGCCCAGGAATCAGCTCAGAGCAATGGAGCGGTGGCAGGGTGGGGGGGTGCAGATCTGGAGGAACTGTCACTGCAGTATTAGAGCTGCCTCCCTTCTTGCCCATCGAGTGTGCAGCACCATGATGGACCTTTGGTTGGTTGGTTGGTTGGTTGGTTGGTTGGTGCTGCAGGGGATGGGGATGGAGCTCCAGGCACCTGCCAGGGCTCTGGACTCTGCCACCAAGCTGTGCTCAGCCCCTCACACTAAGGGTTTTGCCCAGCTCACCTCAGTGAACTCTCATGACATCCTGCGCGTCCACGCAATTATTTGAATTGCTTTCAGATGGGAAATCTGAGATTCCGAGCCAGGACTGTGTCCTAGGGAGGAAGAGAGCGGGCGTGCTCATCCAAGAACACTGCCTGTTCCAGTCTGCAGCCTGTGCCACTGCTCTGTATGATTTTAGTTACAGTAACCTTTTAAAAGAATCACCTTCATCTTTCTGGGAATGCCTGGGTGTGGCTCTGTCACACCTGTGCCTGTGGGCAAGTGGTGAATCTTCCCAAGCTTCCCRTCCCCACCCAGGCTGCCCTGAGAAACCCCTGGAGACTGGACCAGTCGGAAGTTTATTCTCTCAGCCAAGGTATCCTCAGGGACATTCTCCTTCCAGGGCCCCAGAGGAGGTGCCTTTCTTAGTTCTGGGTGTCAATGGCTGTCAGGGGTCCTTAGCTCATAGCTGCACTGCTCCAACCTCTGCCTCCATCTTTCTGTGACATTTTCCCCTCTGTGTCTCTGTGTCCAAATTCCTCTATTTTTTTAGGGACCTAGCCATCAGACTACCTGACTTTATCTTAGGCATCTGAACGGACCCACTTTGCAGAAGAGCTTCCAGGGACGTTCTTCAGCACATGCAGTTGCCCCATGGACAACCACAGATGGCATATACTATGGTGGTCCTATGACCCTGTGCGGTGTGGTGACGTTGTAGCTGTCTTAGTTGGTGTAAGCACACTCCATGATACTTGCRCAGTAAAAAAACTGTCTAATGATGCATGTCTTAGAACGTCTCCTACTGCTAAGTGCCGTGGGATCTGTGTCATGTTGGAGGACACAATTTAGCCCACAAGTTCATTATGAGTTTACCTTTCTGTAGTAGGTTTTATTCTCTCACACTTTTTAATTGCCAGTAACTTCACTCAGTCTTTCAAGTGTAATGTTCATTAGCAGCAGTGAGCAAATGGTGGTTTTGGTGTGGGACTGATGTGGAGCCCACGGCAAGGAGGTGCGCTGGGGGATGGGAAAGGAGGAGAGAGGGTTTCTGCGGCTTTTCTTTGTTTCTGTATTGGTTTCCCCATTAGAGAGTAATCGCTTAAAATTTTAATATGTCTCTTATCATGTTGCCACCTCATTCTAGAATTGCTGAAATTAGTGCATGATGGCAGAAATATATCCAACTTGT